TTATTTATTCAACAGAAAAATCTAGATTTGAAACAATTATGTTTATTAAAAAGAAATATTGATTACTTAATTTCAGTAATTATAATCTGAAGTTAAGAATAATTTACTTACAATCAGTAATTTATTTATACAAACAAAATGCTACTGCGTTTAAGTTAATATTTACTAAAAGTAAGTAAACTGTTCTTACATTGATAAAAGTACTTCTTAAATTTAAGAAGTAGAAAACAAGTAATTGCATTTACTCGATTCGAGAACTTTTTTTTTCTGTGTAGTATGGGTGCTAGTAATAAAGATAAGAAACCACCTCGTTGTGCGATCAAACGTTTCTTGCTCTTTCAGGAATTGTTTTTATTGGCGAGCCGACGCAATATGTTTGCGTGGCGTTTCAGACGGCGCTTATATGACTGTTTAAGTGGTACATTACCACGTAATATATTTAAAGCACACTCGCATATACACCTGACAAGTTTTGGATTAGCCTTTTTAAAAATAGCATCACGTTGTTCACTAGTGAGATGACATAACGCTTGCAGTATTGCAGCATATTTTTGACCAAACGAACGCAGGGTGCCATTGCAAATAAATTATTGATTTGCTAATACTATATACTAGACTCTTATTGTTGTAATTTACGTTCACAACAATCTTTAATTAATGGCGCCGGGCCGTCAATATGCAATTTCTGCGACGTTTGATTATAATATTTTAGACAGAGTCGATATTCTTGTACTTCTGGATCATGCTTGATATGGCAGGGAAACTTATTCCACAAATAATCTATGTGACGGCCGGACTTCTGTAAAATAACATTTGGTATAAATTGTAATTGTTCAGCCGTTAAATCGGAGATATCGTCTGTTAATATGAGAAATATCTTAGCTACTGACAAGATTTGAATTCATACACGATTATAAATACACCGAACAGGGAGAGGTCTGTATCAAATAAGTTTGGCAAAGATATTAAATACGTATTATTGGTATCTCACGTGTTATTTTTAGCTTTTATCTCTTTTCGCGGTATGTAAACATATTGATATTTATCTTCGGGAAATATGTGTGTACGAAAGCGACAATTTTCCGATGTGGATTGTTTTAAATCAAGTAATAAATAATGTGTGGTACAGATGTTGCATCATTATACCTCCCATAAGAACTTAATATCCTCAGGATAAACTTGCAAGCCAGGTGCTGTATTTGAGCCCTATCCCGTGGATTTTTAAATACCACTATATAAGTAGCATTTAGTAAGATATCTCGCATATCACGACCCTGATGAAATAAACTTTACGTAATAAAAATGACGCTAAGATTTTTATGATGACTTCCCTTTGTAAATATATCTATAACTGAGTTATCGGATGCTTCGCGCATAAGATCGTCAATTACAATAAGTTTTGATCGAGGGTCATTGATAATCATCATTTCGTGATAGAAATCATGAAATTCGACATTATTACCGTACTCAATGTAACTTGGTTACCATTCTGAATAGTAAAATAATATACGATCAAACTTAGTATCGCCCATAGCGTCTATATTTTGAAAAAATCTTTTCACGAAAAATGTTTTACCGCAACCTGTCGGATCGCAGACTACAGAGGTCCAGGGATGTTTCCAACGCGTATCCATTTTTTACAAATATTCTTTGACTATTGCTCCTGCTTAAAACGCTTTTTACATTATAATAAATAGCAACACATAATATTTTGTTTCCTCAGCTAACCTAAATATAACTAAATATTTAAAAAAGACGCATTTTTTTCTTTTGTAACAAAAATATTTTTATTCGAATATTTAAGAATACAATCATATAACATATATAATTATAAATTACAATACCTGTATGGTAACAGGTCATTTTGCATTATAATAAAAAGCAATGTACACCATCTTAATTGTTTTCTCAACTTTTCTTTTAATATAAAAATATCAGAAAAAAGTAGACGTGTTTCTACTTCTTCTGCAGTATAAATTTTTTATTTGCGGTATTAAAAATACAAGCATATTGTTGCGCTCGCGGACGTCAGTACGCGCACTCCGGCTTGACTCACGACACACGTTTCCGCAAGGAAATGCAACACATGTTGGTTTTTAAATAAGAACTTTAATACAAACACAACTTTATAATAAGAACAGAATAAATCGTCAATGCATCGGGAACACGTCCGAATGGTTTGGCAGCCCCGCGGTAACTTCAATTCTTTTCTTGTTGATTCCCGTAGCAACGATTCGTTAACGGGAATATTCAATTCTGTCTCTCTCGTAACCAACGTCAGCGGACGGCGGTTCCAAAATCCACGATGCTCGAGGCATGGGCGCAACAATATGACTAATAATTATAAATTATAATATCCGTATGAAAGCGAGCCATAAGAACCCTCACGTCTTCGTTTGTCAAATGTCGGTTTACATGTTTTACGCTCTGAAATTACGACATTATGAAATTCTGTACGTCTAATAGCCTTGAAATTAACTATTATAGACTAGAGTCCCTAGCTAAGAGTCTGGCCATCTCGTCATAAATCCTATTGGTGCTGATACAAAATGGCGGAACCAATAAGATGTCTCAAGTTAATCATTTGCTAGCGGTATTATTCAACTAGTAAGAATGAAACAATAGAGAAATAAATTTATTTTTAACAGTTTTGTTTGTATAAAAGTATAAACATAATGTTAATTATAATAAAAATTAGATAACATTATATTTAATTAACAGTAGCATGCCTATACATAGTTTTACTACTATAAATTTTATTTGTTAATCGTCCTTTCTTATAATTAATTTTTATGCGAAATGAAATAAAACGTTTCATGATTTTGTTAAATAAATTGCAACAAATTTTCAACATGTCGCAACGAATATTAGCCATTTTGGAAATAAAGAATTTTATAAAATCATAATTTTTATTTTTAATATAAGATAAATACCTTCTTATAATAATTTCCATTTCATAGAAATAATTAAAGGTTGCTTCGTTAACAAAAAATAATGTTTGTGATTTATAACACATCTCAAATGTACTAATTTTGAAAACTTAATATTAGGATTAAATGTTCTTGAGCCAGTTGAATTAATGCAAATTTTACAAACTGTGGATAGTTTAGAAATTTTATGAATAATGTAACCAGCAAGAGAATATAATATATTTTAGTTCACATTGTCTATATGAATCGATATTTTATCAAGATAAGCAGGAGTTTTAGGAATTTCGTTTTGGACATTATTATAATTTTCCTTTTTCTTCCTATTTTCTAAAAAATTAATAACAAATGTACCTTCATCTTGTTCATAATTAGTATTGTTTACAACTTGTAAATATTGCGAGACGCTATGTATTTTTAAGCTTTGTTTGAATTGTAATGCATTGGCCGCAGAAAACTTTTTTCGTATATTTGAAAATAAATTTTGAATGTCCTCGTTCATGAAGTAAATAATTTGTCAATTCTACATAAGATGTAGTAGTATCATAATATCGCATTGTACAGATTTAAAATGTTTATCTTGACCGATTTTTCTAATATTACGAAACAAATCAATAACTGATATCAAAAAATTTTATAGTTCGATCAAATATTTTTTGAGATTTTTTTTTCTTCTTTTACTACTCCTAATGCAGTTGAACAAGTTCAAGAAATAATCACACTAAACAATTTTGACACAATTTCAATAAATACGGCGGTTGTTGTATATTCGCTTTTCTTACGTTCTTCTCCTAAAAATTTTAATGCACTACTAACATCTCTGTTATACAAATTGGTTGCCTCATTAACTTTCATTTTGTTGAAATTAGTAATAGCAATAGTATCTTTACGTAATCTTAGTGCTAATTTGAATGTAAAATTTTCTTGCTCATTTACTAATTCTTCGACATGTGAACATTGAACAATGGATGATAGCAATGGAAGATAGTTCATACTTGTCTGCGAAATTCTGTGGCAACGTTATAATTTTATTGTTCACTAATGCAGTTCAAAGATTTTTTAAGAGGTGTGGAGCATCGGCAAAAAAGAACAATTTTCGGTTGTTATCTAGTGGATGTGGCACCGAGTTTTTAATTTCTGAATGTCTTGATGCAGATATATGTTCAAAAGCTCTCCACATGGCTAGATTAACTGCTCCCATATCAGATGTAATACTGTGTACTTTAAGTCCTATCAATTCGGCTTTTTCAATTATTTTAAGAATAATTTCTTTTAAAATTGTACCATCAAATCCGTTAGGAGTGTAATAATACGTCACAATTTGTTTCCATCGTGTAAATATACCGCAAATCATGAATACTAAACCATGCGCAGCTAAAGGCTTCAACCCTGAAAGTACATGCAATCACGCAAATAAGATAATAGATTGAAAGGGTAAGAGCAATGAGGAGACGGAGATGGCAAGGGGGGACGATATGAGTGCGAGAGAGAAGGAGAGAGGGAGAAGGCAAGAACAAAAGCAAGAGGGAGAGAGAGATAGGCACGCGATAGGTTTCAATGTAAAAATACGTCACAAAATAAGCTTTATTTTTATTTATTATTTGTCAAAATGTCATTACAAAAAACAAAAAAAAACATGTTACTAATTTAATTTTACCTTTTAACTTTTAATTATTACCCAATGGCAATGTTTTTTATTAAGGTATCCATTATTATTTACCAAGTGTATTGGGAATTGTAGCATATCCTATAGTATGTTTAGTACTGGGATCAATTTGTTCTCCTGGTGTTATGCTCATTTCATCAACACAAATCATACAATCTGTATTTTGTTCTTCCAAAAATATTGATACCTTTCCTTTTAATAAATCAAAGACATTTTCACAAAAAAATTAAAAATTAATGCATTCCAAGCGTCTGCGCAGAGTACGCGTTGAAGGCAAAGGAATAGATTGAGATAATAATTCCTTATATCCATTATTCCCACATGTTTGTTTTAATCGTAATGCTTTTTTAATGGTTTCATCTGACCATTGACATACAAAATTAGTACATCATCCTTTGCCATATTCAAGATACTTTATTTGATCTTTATTAAATATTTTATGTAACAAATTTTTTTTATCAAGAGACATCTGTCTTCTGTGTAACTTATTAACATTCATTAATTGTCGTAGACGCTGTAGAAGAATTCTGTTTCTTTTCCAATTTTTACAGATAATGGTATTTGCTTTATTAAGTTTCTTGTTTGCTTCATCTAGTTTTTTCTAGTAGTTTGCTTCATCTAATTTTCTTTCCAGTTTTTTTATAGTGTTATCATTTACTGAATTTGTATTGATGTCTGTGAGTTCTTTTGATAAAGATATAGAAAAAACCTCAACATCATTTGTGGATTGTGCTGTATTTTTGTCATGCATCTATAAAAATTAAAATCGTTTTAAAATTTCTTTTACAATAACTATTATAAACTACAGCAGTTAAAATGAATACATACAACCTGTGCATTCCTTTCTACAGTTGGAATGTCATTAAATATTGTTGGAATGGTATTGGCTTTTAATTTTTTTTGCCCATCCACGCATACTTTTTCCCACATTTCTGCTGGAAAGTGAATCTGTAAAATTATTAAAGATTATTGCTTTTTCTATTTTGAATTATATAATTTATTATTCACTTTTTAATCATACAATTTATTACTTACTTTGCATATAAATGAGTTTTTAATTGGTTGCCAATTTAGCGATTGATAGCTCGTATGGTTTTTTATATTTTGTATCCATATTGCCCTTCGAGTTACGTCTGATGGGAAACATCATCGAAAAACCTTTTTCGATGTAGTTGAAACAATTAGGCACGCAGCAGCCAGGCATGTTTTACAAAATTTATATAACTTGTAATGAACATCGAATATAATCTTAAAGGTTATATTTTGCACAGTAACACGGTCCACACAGACTGTCACGGACCACACCAATGTGGCAATGTTTACGACGCCATTTTGTATCAGACTTTAATGAGATTTCACTAGCCTGGCCAGACTCTTAGCTAGGGACTCTATTATAGGCGTGTCTCTTTCATTTGTAACAAGTGAACTGACAGAAAGATAATTAATCAACTTACTGTTTGCAAAATTAAGAGTTATACCTTTAGCCTTGTAAACTTTTACGACACCACCGTCGGGTTTACGTACAACAAAGGCGTAAAACTTCGCACCAGTCGAAATAAAAGACTCAATATAACTACTCTCACCATAGCATGCTAATTCGTTTGTCAAATTACCCAATAATTTAACGGTTGGCGGCTCATAATCATTCGGAGAATTATTACTTACATATATGCACGAGTTTGTATCGCAATATAACACACGTTTTTCAAGGTTCAATATATTCATATAGTTTTAAACGAGCATGGGCTGTTGTGTATGCAGCTATCACAACGTTTGCTATCGGGGCAAGTGTTAAATTTTCGTCCGTACATATATAACCAACACATAAAACGTCATCGTTAACAGGTTATATACTTGTGACATCTATTTTATTACTAAAAAGTAGTTGTATTAATCTGTTACGTGTTACAATTTCAATTTTTTAGAAAGGTTTTCACGCTGACCAAATTTTTCCCAAAAAGAATTTAAACACAATTTTGAAACAGCTCGGAGGCCAGGGTTAACGCTTATTTTTTCCGGATTCAATTTAATACCTTCTGCTTGTGCGTATTCATCTATGTATCGTATTTTTTATTCTTCATCAACGCAGTCGGAAGGCCATCCACTGGCTTCTTGATTAATTTTTTAAAAAGTATTTATATATTCAGTGAAATGACCTCCTTCTTTGGTTTGTGAATTATATTGCGTTATTTCATATTGCCAAATTTCATAAATATTCGTAATCTTGTACCCCATGCTTACGACTTTACGTATTTCGTGAATTACCCAAGTACCCGTGAATTCATGATTGGAATCACGTTCATGCGCGCAAGTCGTTTGACATATATTTTTGCAACATGTACGACATAATGCAAACATTAATTTTGTTTGCGTATAGGATAGGCTGGTGCTACCTTGAAACGGAAGGGTCGCTCTCCAAGGCGGGTGACTTTCCAACAAACGAATTCAGTAGTGATGTTGATTCAAACGTTTATTAATGAGTTATGCACAATGTCGTTGAATGAAGCAAACGGTATAGCTACGGCTGATAGGAGTCACACGCGGAATTACGAGCCGCTGTGAGTGTCTGGAACGCTTGCACGCGACAATGCAGATAACGCGAATGTCTTGGTGATGCGAACGTTTACAAAACGGAAATCTTCGTTACGAAACGGAAATCTTCAAGACGCGCCCACGAACGGTGCGGACGACTTAACGAGTACGATAACGGCGGGAATGCCGAAGTCCCGCAGCAAACGCGTGATCGCACTGACGTGGTACACACCACAACTTGATAAGCGGTGCCGATTTGGCAATGTACCCTGTACTGGCGCCTTCCGGTTCGGTTGACGATAATGATGCAACCAATCGCAATTTAAAGGCGATGCATGAAAGCAGGTTCGGTTAAAATACACCGAAGTCGAGATAGCAAAGTTCGCGTAAACGAGAGCGTTAGGTAAGACTCGAGATCCGTATTGATCGGAATCCGGCGGCGAACTCGCTGGTTGCAAGCGAAGTGCCATGCACAAGGACTTATTTCTTAAAAAACAGCGCATAGGGGTTGCGTGACATCCGGTACGGCGCGTACGTGAGCGAGAGGCTCACACGGGCAAGATACAGGAATGTGGATGTTGTTTGCGAACGCTACGCATAATGATGTTTGCGAAAACGGAATCCGGAACAAATTTATATATTAATGTGATGTACCCGAGTAAAGGTAGTCTCCGATACCCGTGATGAGGTTTATTAACGAATAAATGAAAAACAATTTAGAATGACATTGTACAGAGGTGATACAAATTGCGTTCGATCGGCTGCCGGTCGGTTCGACACTGACACTCTTCGCTCGACGCACGACGCGGCGGCTCGCTCGCAACACGCGGCGTTCACGCACAGCGCACGCACGCATCTACATACACCACAACTCTCCCCCGCTTAATTAAGTTTTACTTAAAGCGCGGAGAGCGACGCAAGTTGCTACTATTTGTCTTTGCTGGCACGATCTGGTCTACGTGCCGTTTCTTTATCGCATCGTTTTCCGTTTGTACAATGTATGTCGATGGCGACGCTTGCCTTACTATTTTACCCGCAATTCTCTTATTCGATCTCGGCCCATAGTCGTTGATCATTACATCGTCGCCTGATTCGAATTGTACTTGACGCTTACCTGGTCTATTCAATATTTGTGCACGCTGCTTTCCCTCGACTGTATCATCTATATTTGATCTGAGCAAATCAAAACGTGTTCTCAATTCGCGCTTGTACATCGAATACGCCGGGCTTCTTCCCGTAGTGCAATGTTCTATGCTGCGATAATCATACAGGAACATATTTATAGCCGTACTCACCCTCTTTCCCCCCTGGACAATTTTTTTAACTTTGTCCTTAAATGTTTGTACAAAATTCTCCGCAGCCCCGTTTGTCGCGGGATGGTACAGCGGCGAGTAAGTATGTTTTACTCCTATTTTTACTAGAAAGTCGTGAAACTCGACACTTCTGAATTGTGGACCCCCGTCTGTTACGCAATGTAGTGGTATCCCGAAACGCGCGAACAGGTCCTCGAAAACTTCTATCAACTTACATGTTTTTGTATTGTTGTTGAAGTTTATTACTTCAGGCCATTTTGAATGTGCATCAATTACAATTAAGTACATGTTCCCGTAGAATGGTCCTGCAAAATCACAGTGAATGCGGTTCCACGTTTTCATTGGCCAGGGCCAGGTTGTTAATGGTGTGTTTGGTGGTTTCTTCTGCTCTACTAGGCAAATTTTACATTCTTTTACTCGCGTTTCTATGTCCGTATCGATATTTGGCCACCAAACATATGAACGCGCAAACATTTTAATTTTAACTATACCTAGGTGCGTTGCATGTAGTTCGTTCAAAATTAACGATCGCATTTCTGTTGGGATGACCGCTCTCAATCCCCAAAATAAACATCCTTTTTCAATTGTAAGTTCCATTCTTTTCGTAAAGTAGCATTTTTCGATTTCTGTTAAATCTTTCACATTTGGCCATTCGCTTGTTACATATTTCATAATTTTACTAATCATTTCGTCTTTTTTACTTGTTTCACATAACATTTTGCGGTTTAACGATTCTATGCCCTCCTCGAAGAAATTTACGTGCGAGAATTCAGGACTGAGTTCTAGTAACAAGATATCGTCGTCTTTATTTTCGATAGGTAATCTCGATAGCGCGTCACAATTCGCGTTTAACTTTGATTTCACGTGTTCGATTGTA